AACTTCACGATCCACGCCGAACCACTCAATTGCTGTTAAGTGGGGTTTACGTTTTGAGGGTTTGGATTTTCTTTGTTAAACCCTACGACGCGCCAGATAAAGTTCAGTGTCTTAACAATAAACGTACACGATGGGCAATATCCACCGCGCTCTGGGTAACATGTTCACGTATTTACCGAAAATTTAACTGAAGTCCATTGTACGGGTATATCTTTTCTGTGACGAAGTAATTTCCCCCCCCTCTACCCACCCCGTCCTTAAAACATATTTATTTTTTATGCTAAGCATACACGTGTGGGGATTGCTCACATCGTAGCTTTCCCGTAAATGTTTGCGATTATTTATTTTAAAAAAAACTTATCAACAGAAATCTTCAAAGTCATCAACGAGAGTTATGCAAATTACCCAAAATAATAATAATGTTTTTTATACATTTACAACTTCTTCGGGAAAAATGTGTGAATTCCCCCATCGATCCTGGTTCAACAACATTAAACACTTGTTCTAAGCTGACAAGCAACATATGTTGTACAGGGTGACCAGGAGAGGTTAAAAATTATAATAAAAGTGGAGACAATATCATGTCTATGGCTGTACGTATTCAGAAGATATATGTACAATCTTGTTTTGAAGCTTTCGTGACTGCAGGAATCCATACTCTTTGGTTCTTTCGGTAAAGTCACGTAGTTAGAAATAAAATAAAACAAATCACGACGTTTCGGGCGCAACACAAGTGACCTTCATCGGGTGGCACCGATACAGGGGTACAGCGGTTGTGTCCTGCTGTATCGGTGCCACCTGATCAAGGTCGCTTGTGTTGCGATCGAAACGTCGTGATTTGTTTTATTTTATTTCTAACTACGTGACTTTTCCCGAAAGAACCAATATATGTACATTTAAATGTTGTATTTGTGATCGAGGGGAAGACCTATATGACTAGATAGTTGTATAGGGTTATGAAATAACTATTCATTTCCGGAACTATATGGGTCTCTGTGCGAGTCTGCGGGTCTCTGAGACTATGGGTCTTTTTGTGAGTTTGAGAGCAGTTGGTGGGACACTATCAGGACCAAACTTGGAGGTCGCTGCAATGCGGGATGGTTGGTGATGGTGGCATCAAGCGCTTGATCTTGTAACAACTCCTGCCTGTGATATTTCTCCTCATTAAATTAAACAGACACATTTAATCGTGAATACCCCTAAGAATCGTGCAATGGACAGTGAATTGGCCTGAGCGCTGTTCAAAATGTAACTTCGACAAATCCTTTGAGCGAAATTCCCAGCAGTGCCACGTAGGGAGTGGCTTAACACAAATCACGTATCTTGAACAAGCATTTAAACCGCTTTCCAAATAGCAGAATGGATGGCCAGCAACTTAAAAAAACGGAATCCTCTTCGCCCATGATACGCTGCACGCGAGTTCGAAGTTGTCACGAATTTAACTAAACTATTTATTTAACAATTAACTATGTTTATTGTAACAGGTAAGGCCCACTAGAGCCATGTAGCTCTTTTTCAGAAGCGACCTGGCCACAAATGATAGCTCAACGAAGTGGCTTACCATGTGGAAATTTACAACAACCAAATACTCTAAACGCGTGTTTGTAAACGGAGGGAAGACCCGGAGATAATTCCACGCGACCACAGGAAGAGAGAGAGAGACGCGCAAACTCTAAATATACAGCAGGCGTCTGGAACAGGATCGAACCCACGCGAGTTAGTTATCATCTCGCCACCGCCCGCAACATTCGCCAGCACAACGATTACGTCTAATAAACTCGGGAATAGCCAAATCGAAGCGTTGGCGAAAATCTGGGAACGCCGTGATTTCGGCAGTCACCGCTGGCATAAACGATGAATTCGTGGCTTTGCCGCATTATACAAACGGCGCTTTAAAAGCCTTTTTACAATGACTTACAGGGTAATTAAAGATAATAAAAGGGAAGGTTTGTTTTATTTGGACTGTCAACTACAGGTAAAACAAGAATATTTGTTTTACTGGTAGGAACGAAGTTGTAAACTGAGTGTACCAGCCTGCAATAGATTAATGTGTCCGTCCGTCCCCTTTCAATACTTTAACGAAGTGAAATCTCAAGCTGTTGGGTGTATAATTTGTCCGAAGAACCCTCAACGATTTTGAGGGCAAAAAGGTGGGAAGACGCTCTCAATTTGCACAATTTTACGTAACAATGTCATAAAATTGCGCAAAATTCCAATGTTCCTACCAGCCCACCCTGCAGGGACCTGTTTTAACAATCTGACCGACGGACCTTCTTTCGGGGATATTGTGTGGTTTCTCTGCTGCCTCCAGCTTCAAGTAAAACTCATGGGACGATGTGTGGAGGATTTTCTCAGAGTGGGTCACTCTCTCACTGCACGCGTGTCTATTCGAAGTGCTATATTTTAGTCTCTCTCCTTATGAATGATCAATAGAAACTCATGTTAAAATAATACTAAATAGATTATTGTAAAACTTAAGGCCAGTATGATGCATTACCTCGTTCCTCATATGTATTTGCTTCCTCCATATCCAATGTACAGTATATATATAAACGTGTCTGTCCGTCTCTACATGCATGTTTATTCATAACCATGGCAGTAAAGAACTGGATCTATCCTGGTCTCCACTATAGTCAATGATCAATGCATACCATAGCTTAGAATTAAACACGAGATACAAAACAATCCGTATACATAAGGTCAGTATCAGCATCTGTTCCCCTAATGCTACGACTTCCCAATAGACACACAATATGACCGTGTACAAGACATTATTATATCGCGGGACCGGCTTGAGAAGGAGGCCTTCATCCAGCAGCGGATTAAACGTGGCTGCTGATTAATCATGATGCTAATGATGATGTAACATAGTATATTAACAATGTAAGGCTCCTGCGTATGAAAGACATTAACCCACTCACTATATGCGAGGCACACCTTAGAAATATTATCTTGGGACTGGCGTATTTTATCCGGTTCCCCCCCCCGCCTCCACATTTTAGAAACGTGCATTGAGATTATTTTGATTATTTTGGCGCGACAAATGTCCAAATGATGGTGCCACTTTGTTGCGCTATCATTTGTGGCCAGGTCGCTTCTGAAAAATAAGTTAATACCTCGGTGGGCTTTGCCTGGTAGGATGGGGATGGTTTATTTTTTATTTATAATTGTTTGCGTGATTCTTTTTTAACCCATCTTGTACTTTGCACCAAATCAGTTTTTTTTGTATTGTTTGTTGTAGCGTTCTTGTCCGCCTCTTACTGGACACCTGTGGAAAAAGAGCTTCATAGCTCATCGGATTCCTCCAGTACAAATAGATATTCTGATTGTGTAGATTGCGCACAAAACGCCACGCACGTAGCAGGGTTGTTCGTGAATATCTGACAGCCTTTCCCGGCGGCTCTTAAATCACATTGAGGCACGCGCGGCACATTTGGAAGAACTCCCGCCGTCAAAGATGCGTTGCAAAGGGAAATTGTAGAGGGACCCAACACTCGCGACTCCTTACAGACTCGCTTCGCTTATTACTGAGAGTAAATATCAGGGGGAGGGGGGGATACAAATATGCCGGCTGTTATTTACGCACCCAAGTCGTTCAAATAGCAATGTAGATATCTAATTTTGTACGACCACGCGAATAATGCATACACTGCCGGTAATGGTGAACAAGGTGATGGGACAGCCCTGCAAGTGGCCTCCTCCGCTAGAAGGGAGCCCCCCTCTAAGTAGGGGTGTTTTTGGTCTACTCATCCCACACTGGTCCAGACGTCTTGGAAGAGAAACAGGTTTTTTTTTGTTTTTATTATGCAAAGTGTTCTTGTTCGGTACCAAAAAAAAAACCCTAAATCCTTCTTCCTCAACAAGACGGCAAAGATACATTGTGGCGATCAATAATACACCAGCTGAGTTGATATAATAACCTTGTTACGTGCCTATAACCTTGTACGCGCAACTTGAGCAACTCAGTGACGGGGACAATGAGCCACTGATGTTACTCCGATAACATCGCAGCGAGATATGTAAACACGTGCGCACTCTTTACAAAACTAGAAACACAGCCATTAAAAGTGACGGTGAGGAGATATGCAGCACACCGCACAACGTGATCCAGGAAACCGACTGCCCCGTCCTTCGACGCGGTTCGCGTCAGTGGCGACCGACCATCACGTGCCATCATCCCTCCCCGTCCACCTTCCCCGCACGCCGACCGGCGCGGTGAAGTATGGTCAAAGCAAACCCCGCGCGACCGGCACGGCAACTGGGGAGGCATTATCGGACACAGGTGCTGATCTAAGCTCTATGCACCTATACAATATTGCCGTATGTAACAGCGCCCGGCTTAATATCAAATAAATGTTTTTTTTTAACTTCTATTAATTAGTCGATAATTGAGTAATCGAGCACAGAGTAAACTTAAGTTCTCTCCCCCCCCACCACCACTTTGCACTCGCAACATTTATCAATGTTCTGCCACTCACTTTTTTTCCCCCCCACTCACGCGTTAAACTCCACCGGCGGAATCGATCTCCACAGCGGGACGAGTAAATCACCAGCACGGCGGCATGGAACCGAGAGACACGATCAATTCCTCATAACTCTACCGCGACGACGACGATGACGATGACGATAGTCATAAGACTATAACTAATAGCTGCAATAAAACAAAGTATATATTCTACATCGACGTCGCGACCATGCTGAGCGGACGTCAAATCATTGGCAGCGACACAACATAATCATTCAGCGACAGACGCCTCGACGCGCGCTCGCAACACGCAAAGGAAGCGCCTGCTGCTCATGATAGAGGCACAGTTTGGTAGCTGCTACGTACCGGTGACGAAAGAAGTTCCGACGTACAAAACCCGAGCAACATCACGCGCGCGAAGCGAGGAATATTCGCTCGGGCAGCAGCAGCAGCTATAGAGGAGGGGAACACCGACAAACCAGGGCTGCTGCTGCTGCTGTTGAAATTCAGCGTTAGGTGGGGGAAAAAAACTCACGTCTGAAACAGCTGTGCCAAGCTCGCCTGCCCCCATCAACTGCCCTCCCCGACAGTTCGCAGACAACTCGTCTAGCCAGAGTTACAGGCTGGGCATTTAAATGTGCAACACGCGCTCGCACGCCGTAGCTGCATGCCATTACGTCACCGCCCCTTCTCTTTTTTTGTGTTGGAGGGGGGACGAGGTGGTGGGGGTGGTGGTTGTTGTATCAGCTGATGGCTGGAGGTGTTTGTAATACTGTAGGGAGGGGGGGGGAAAGGAGAGAATAACACCCCAACTCCACCTCCCGTGTGGGTGGATACAGAACGGAGGAGGAGGAGGGAGGTTGGCTGAAGAGGGAGGGGGTAGCTCGTGGCGGCGGGGCTTTGTTTGAAGGGAAAGAAAAAGGAGACAGACAGAGAGAGGGACGGAGGAAAGAAGTAAGTAAAGTGTACGTAGTGGCCACCCGCGGCAGTGCAAGAAGGGTGGGTTTAATGTAGGAATGTTGGGAACACAAAAGCCCCCCCTCCCCCCAACGTCCTCTGAGTTACAACAGCGGTGGTGATGATAATTCGATTCTATTGCGCATGATGGCAACAATATGTTCAGGAGCTAAATGCCAATAATGTCCGAGGTTTTACGGCCACGAAAGACAGCTTCGGGAGAGAATGCGTGTAGTTAAGCGATGATATTTCTCCTCCATTGAAGGCGCCACAGACCACGGCGGTGTAACTATTGGTATGATGTTGATGATGACGATAATAATGATCGGCAGGTATTTTTGTCAATCTGTAACGTAAGTATGTTGAACTTCCTTCGCACCGTACGTAGCCAACCAACCGCGCGGATGAAAGGTGCGGGGGGGTGGGTCGCGGAAGGACAACAAACGAAAGACCAAGATCACTTCAAAAGAAATGAGTTTTCAATCTCCTGCTAGATCAAGGGTCGGCAACAGAACTAACAAGAAGAGCAAAACAATTCGTACTCGGTAATACAAACCTCGATATTTCAAGAGCCGCAAAGCACTGTGGTGAATGCGAAACGGCGGTCCTCAAGAACGTGACGAAGCCACCTGACCACCACAAATGATGGCTCAATTGACGCGGCCTATCGTGTGGAAATGTATAGCAGCAAAATAATCGAAACGATCGAAACGCACTGATGTTAGCCGTGGGAGGGGATCTAACGCAGGCTACGGCGTTCGTATCGCGAGTGTGTGAACTGCCTCGCCGCCACTTCCCATACATTATTTAGACGTGTGCCTAAACCATCGGGGGCGGATTTAATGTGTCACGTAAGAGTTAGGTGTCAGAGTGCGTTGCGTATTTTGTTTGGATGTGTCCGTCGATCTGACTTGCGTGTGTCACTGCGGGGAGCGGTGGCGCAGCGGTTCGACGCAGCCGCGCGGCGAACTCGACAGCCCGAGTTCGATTCCCACGCACGGCCAACAACGGTGACGATTATTTGAAACCGGTCCTGGGCCTCCCCGAGGTCGACTCAGCCTCGAATGTATTACAGTACCTGGTGCAATATGCAAACATCGCCACCGGGGAGACAAAGGTGACCGGGCCGTGGTGCTGGCCACCCACCCCCTCGTGTGCCGTTCCGGCCTTCATAGGTGCTCGCTAACAGCACTTGTCCCAAGTCTCACGGGCACACGGGAGAGCTCTGTCTTTGTGTGCCACTTCGAGCGTGGAGTCGTCACGATGAAGTTGTTTCGTTTGCCGGGACAGCACCTTTCCTGAAGTCTCAACCACAATGTCTCGAACTCTATTAACTCTATAATTATGATGTCAGTCTATACATCATTTCCCTGCAGGGGTTATAGCATGTTTTAATCGCACGTATGAATGTTTACATACTGTTTGGGGAGCGGTGGCTTAGTGGTTAGCGCACTGCATCGTGACATTTCCGGCCATGGCTAACATCAGTGGTGATTATCCGAACCGGTTCCGGTCCTTCCCTAGGTCGACTCAGCTTTAAGAGAGTACCTAATGCGGTGTGTAAACATCAGCACTCGGGAGACAAAGACATTCAAAGGTCATGCTTGTCACAACACCCCCGAACACCCCCATGTCAGACGTAATAGTTGCTCGCTCTCGGCAGGGCGCCACGGTGGCTAGGAGATGTTAACTACCTCGCCTGGTATACAGGAGGTCGTCGGTTGGATCCCGACCCTGACGCCTGCTGCTGCTGCTCTATATTTAGAGTTTGCGTGTCTCTCTCTCATCATCATCATCACGGTGGCTAGGAGATGTTAACTACCTCGCCTGGTATACAGGAGGTCGTTGGTTGGATCCCGACCCTGACGCCTGCTGCTGCTGCTGTATATTTAGAGTTTGCGTGTCTCTCTCTCATCATCATCACGGTGGCTAGGAGATGTTAACTACCTCGCCTGGTATACAGGAGGTCGTTGGTTGGATCCCGACTCTGACGCCTGCTGCTGCTGTATATTTAGAGTTTGCGTGTCTCTCTCTCATCGTCATCACGGTGGCTAGGAGATGTTCACTACCTCGCCTGGTATACAGGAGGTCGTTGGTTGGATCCCGACCCTGACGCCTGCTGCTGCTGTTGCTGTATATTTAGAGTATGCGTGTCTCTCATCATCATCACGGTGGCTAGGAGATGTTCACTACCTCGCCTGGTATACAGGAGGTCGTTGGTTGGATCCCGACCCTGACGCCTGCTGCTGCTGCATATTTAGAGTTTGCGTGTCTTTCTCTCTCCCCGTGATCGCGTGGAATTTTCTCCGGGTCCTCCGGTTATCCCTCCGCATTTAGAAACATCGTCACAACGCGTTTAGAGCATTCGGCTGCTATCAATTTCCACGCGATAAGCCACTTCGTTGAGCTATCATTTGTGATAGCCGCTATATAGCTCAGTGGCGCTTTACTAGGCAAAATTAATAAAAAAAAATAGTTTAGTTTAATAGCTTACTTGCCCCGACAATCCGTCAAAGGCTCTACGTGGGATATCGACAAAACGTTTCGTGCACGCTATGGCCTGCACGTGGGTGTAACGAGTGGGCACGACGGAGCGGCGGCCGCTACACGGTGGCTGAATATTCCGAGAGCACAGAAAGCCATTGCCCGGTCGTCCAGCGGGGAGGGGGAATGAGACGCGACCATCGTCTCAACATCCCAACTGACGGGTGGCACACTTTCAGGGGGGGCCCCCACCGCCGCCGCCGCCGCCGCGAGGATTTGGTTTCGGACAGAGATCCTCTTTTTTGTCGGGTTCAAGGCGAGTGTGTTTCAGCTGATCTTTATCAAGAGTCCTTCCCACCCCCATCCCCGGGACACACGAGGCTGCCCCGAGGCTAACGGGGCCGTGCAGCTATCATGTCACGGTACAGTATGTTTGTCGTCATTCAGCGAAATGCTGCACGAGAAAATGCGTAATTAATGGTTTGAGCGCATGTCAATTTGGACACTGGATGAAGGCCTCCGCGCGCCGTATCAGTCACGTGGGAGCTATGTCATGGGACCGCTTTTGTCGCTATCGCAGTATGAAAACATAACCGTAGGCGTTACCCTGTCTGGCAATGCAACAGGCGTTTAGATGTCCAAAAGCCAAATTCATTCTAAAAGGTATCCAGTTGGTGTTTGAACATCTTGCGGAAATGCCAGAAAGGATCAAACCTATTCTTTTTTTTTCATACTTTGATATTGGGGGAAAAAAGGGTATCCCGTGATACAGCTGCTGTCCACCCCGAGCTATAACTGCTCTGATACGTGTGGCATTGTCTTTGTACTGTCCGCATTTTGGCGTTCTCTGGTCTGACACCGGTGAGACTTGGCCCTAATGAAGGCTGCTGTCTCTCGTGTAGGCCAAACAGTTTCAAAGACAATGCGCAGACATTATCAGAGTGTGTTTTTTGCATGTTCATCACAAGTACTGTGTGCTTAATGCAGTTAACTTGATTCCTTGCAAAAAAGGTTTCTGTTTGGTGTTTGAACATCTTAACAACTCCCGTTTTATTGGCAGAAAGGTTAAGAGCTATTCTTTTTTGTTTTCATACTTGTGCGGGGTTGTTTGACCATACTTCTCACATGCAGGTCAGCGCGAGTTGGCGAAGGGATGACCCACTGACTATTCAGCTTTTACTCAGCACTGACGTGAATTAGCCGTGGCTGGGAATCAAACTCCGGTAACCGGGTGTTCACAGCGGAGGCCACTAATCAACGGCCTCGCTGCACTGCCTATAATAATAATGTTTTTTTGAAAATAATGTATTCAAAAGTGTTTATTAGGAGGGAGCCATTAAAAGAGGTACAGTAAGACCGAACATTCCGTCAAGGTAATTTCTACGGTAATAATTTATTTGCCCGGGCAGTGCAGCGCTTAGAGGGCAGCTCGCAACCTTACGGTCGCGAATTAAAATCCTGGCCAACAACTTCATCCTCTCCAAGCACCACTCTTGTAGGAAACTAACAAAAATCGACGCAAAGTCACCCCATGGAAACGCTTCGCCCCCACGCCTTCGAATCGCGGACTCTCCGTGGCCGCCGTCAGGGTGTTTTTGAACGGATCGTCTTCTCGCGTGTGGCGAGTGTCGCGTGCAGGTGTAAGCTTGTGAGCCATGCGACGGCAGTCATTGTCCAGTCCGCCGGAGAGCGGCTGTAGAATGAAGCAGTTGTTCGCGATATGTACGTGCAGTCTGTTCTCCCGTCACGCGCAGTTTTCAGAACGCGAAGTGGATGCGACGCATTGGATGCACGAGGGAACACATTGTATGAGAGCGCCGATGCGAATTGGACAAAACGCGATCGATTGAACGGAACGGCGTCGCGCGAGTATGAATAAGCAGTTGTACGGCTGCCTCGGCGTAGCATCATCACACGAGGCAGCGGGATACTGCTGGATGCTTCTAGATGCTACCCACGCGCCTCAGTCTTTGTTCAGCCTGCGTACGCATCTTACGCGAGCGAGACACCCACCCACTTGCAGGGTGATGAGATGCCACATGGAACCATTGATGCAATGTTCGTCCAACTGGCCCAACGTTCCTTGTTTACTGGGCACCTTTAGTGAGCAGTACAGAAAGTAATGAGCGACCACGTGCCAACGTTATGCGAACGTTGGACCAACGTTGGGCCAACGTTAG